TCAACTGTGACTGGAGACTCTGAGGTCAGTTCACTGACTCTCTGTTTTACTATTGATACATCTATGTTTAAAATTTTGAATGTATTTGTTTGTACTTCCTAAAGTTGTACATTTTCCTTTTGTTTATATTTTCATTGTTTCTTGACTAAATTCAAGATTTCTGTGTCTTAAGAGGCGTAGAAAATTTGTCCATGGTTGGTTTTTAAAGTTTAAATTAATGTTATTCTTTTTGTTAAATGGTCCACATCTCTATACGAGATCTCGATCTGACATTTGGTTTCTAAAATGGTTGATTTAGTTTATCAATAGAATTTTCTTTTGTTTGTGTTTGATTTATGTGTTTGTTCTGATTATTTGATGGTGATTCTTTCACAACACACATATATTACAGGGAGATAAAATTTTCTACGCTGTTTATAAGGAACATATAGTAATTCGTCCTTATCATCAGATTTACTGAGATCAAGCCGATTGTTTATTCAGTGTTGACATGGAATAGCTGTTAGTATGTTGTAGTGACTTATTGATGATCTACAATAACCAATGACAAATCACTTTCTTATTTTAGAAAGCTACTTTGATTAGGAGATCGTAATGTTTGAGTCACATTTAACCTGAGCACATCTTGATTTGGATTTGTTGTGAATTAACTTGAAGTCCAATTTTGAGGCTGGTTTCAGATTGCGTCTTTTATTCATGCGCGGTTGGGCAAGATTCCAACAAGCTGTGAATTTTATTACAGTGGTTTTTTCAAGGACAATTATATTACAGAGTTACAGAACAATCAGGCTAAGTTTTGTTTTTTCAAGACAGAACTCACTCTCCTACAAAGCAGGTAATTAATCATATTTATCATTACGGTTGTTGTGTGTCTCAGTTACAGAGTTTCACTGTCCGTTAAGAAATTCAACATTTTTACTTTTTCTTGAGTTATTAAATTTTTGGTTTTTTTTTTCCATATTCTATTCTTTAATTTCAGATTAAAAAGGTGGCTGCGTTTGTCGCTGATCCAGCTGTGCTCTCTGGTTCTCATAGCTTCTGAGTCCACCCTCCCTCTAAGGTGGGCTGTATAAGAAACTTGCAGGATTTCAGATGTGGAAGGTGTGTCTGATTCTTGTGGGAGGTCCAGACATTAACTTTCAGGCTGTTGAGGGTCAGAGGTAGGGTTGGCGTTCAGTCCCGCTCAAGCAGTATCAAAGCAAGATCCAGTATTGTGTTTCCTCGTTGAGGCTGTGAGAGGGGATTTTGGTGACAGGCTTCAAGGTTGGACAGAGCAGGAGGGCAGTCAGATGGCCGGGAAGCTGTTGTGTGTGATTATGTCTTTGTTATGCGATTGACGACTTGTTGTTGTTGTGTTTCTATCTACAAATGGTTACAGCTGGATTAATAGATGTCAGAGACAGTGGTTCTCATTATTTTCAGACTTGATGTTTTCCAGCTGGTTTTTCGCTGAAGGTGTATGCTAACACCAACCAGCAGCTATGTGTCAGCTGGTTTTTCTATTATTTATAATGGTTTTTACACACTTAATATGTTTGTCGGTTAAAAAAGTCTTCATACTGGATGTGCTGCATCGCTGATTAGAAGCTGATGATCTGCAAACACTGATTTATGACTTCTGGTCTGTCTTCTTCTTCATCAGATGGAAGTGATGCGTCTGTCAGAGTGTGAGTGGTGAGAAAGGTGGTTTTGGTTGAGAGGACCAACTGTGTCCTGATGAGTCCAGAGAGGTTGAAGTGAGCATCAGCTCTGACGTCTGCCCAGCTGTGACAGAGGAATCACAACCAGTGGAGACGACTCTCAGTGCTGAAAGTCCAGAGGTGGTACACACATTCCTTACTCAAAGTACAGATACTACTCTCATAATTTTAGTACATTTTTTAAGTAAAAAAGGAATTTCTCAGCTGTTTCTGTACGAAACCAACTGAAACTTCTCCCTCTCTGTCTGTTTCCATGAGCTACACTGTGAAAATACTCCAGTACAAGCAGAAGTTTAAGAAGTAATTTATGATTACTCACAGAAGAATCACAGCAGCAACCTGCACATGCTTTTGCTGCTGCAGCAAAATGTCCAAAATAAAACAACCACTAAAAACTGCACCTGAAAGTCTTTGATGTGACTCCTTTATTTTATTCCTCTTTTCCAAACCCCACTCATACTGACCTCACTGATCCTGGTTGTTGCATATTTTGTCTTTATTCAAATTGATGTCACACCCTAATCACGTGTCACCAATGTACCATGTGAACAATAATAAATTATACAATAAATAACTCATAAAGGACTCAAGAAACTGTCATATTACACACTTAGAATGAGAGTTATTAAGTTGAAAATGGTTTACTATTGGAAATATACATGATTTCATTGAACCTACAACAGCTCAGTAAAGATATTCACTGCTGTTGGATACCAGCACATGTTGGAATAGAGGGAAATTAGGTTGCTGACAAACTATCTAAAAGTTCATTTAACAAAAGTAATAGTGGTATTTTAGAAATATGTTTTGGCAAAATCAATTTAGCAGGGAACAGTGGAAACTGAGTAAAACAAAGGACTTTACTCAAATATTTAAATGAAAGAGGTCTAATATACAGAATATAATTCCAATATAGTCATGATTTTACTGGTACATTTGCTGGAGGCATGCACCTTTAACGTTGGTTTGTAACCTGCCAGAAAACTAAAGAATTTAATAGCATAAAATAAGAATACTGCATTGCTGTTTAGCTATTAAGAGCCAAAATCCAAGGAAAATATATATGTTGTGTGTTGTTATATAGAAATAAATGCAGAAACGGGTTGATGAGTGTCCTTTCAGTCTGCGTCCATCAACATGGATGGACCCAATAAATACAACTATTTAATCTCATATTTCTGACATTGACTCTACAGCAGTTCTGATAAGTTTACAGTCTATAAGTCTATGGTAGAAATGTTTCAATATTTATATAGAATTCAGAGATTTGGGATATATGTTATATATGTATGTTTTTGTTGGGTTACCTCTACATATGGGAATCAAAGGCAATGCATTTGCAGACAGGGTGGTTAAAAGAGCACTAAACATGAGGCACATAATGGACATTTCATTTAGGAAAGAGGTAAAACACTAATGAAAAATGTCTTAAATTTTTAACAAAATTTGGCACAAAAACAAGGTTTGTGGTTAATACTACAGAATAAACAGAGCACAACATGTTAAAAGAAGACATAAAAGAGAAAAAGTGATATCTAGACTAAGCTTTGATCACACTGGTTTAAAGACATAATAATAAGACATTCTTTTTATTGGGTAAGGTAAAGTCATAAGTGTGTGTGCATTGTAATATAAGTGCAAACGTGTGTATTATTGCACTGTATCAAATACAATGAAGTTTACAACAAAGGGTGAGAGAGGCTGAAGGAAGGTGGGATTTAGAAAGGATATTACGGACAAATGGAGAGATGGTGTTGGAAGCACAGAGACAGATTTCTTAATAATTTTCATGTTTGTTTGTTTATTTATTTATTATGTTCTTAGTCTAATGTACTCTTAACTACTTCTGCTTCCACATACTCCGGTACAGTAGGTGGCAGTATGCAACCTGTAAACTGAGATTGCACCAAAAAACACTATTTACATTTTTTTTTTTGGTAAACTTTATTTAAGCTTCTTCAAGTAACAAACAGGCATCATTAATGGATATGGAGGCTAAGCATACTTAACAATAAATCTACCCAAGCAGCATATATTAACAGAAAAGAAAGATATAAAGGGGGAAAAAAATGAAAATAAAACAAAAACCATCTAAAATAAGTTAATTTAAAGGGGGTTGAATTAAGATATAACTCAAGTAGTTTAGAGAGTCTTAAATCTTATATACTGTAAATGGTCTTCTCTTTTCCAGTTGTCTAAAGGATTTTAAAGAAAATAAATGCCACAAAAGCTTGGAGCACCTTTTACAAAATCTACACTTGTGAATGTAAAAAAAAAAGTTAAAAAATAATAAAATATAAATAATAATAATAATATAATAAATATTATTACATAAACATCCAACATCTTTGTTTTGCATTAAAATAAATACCAAACTTTAGACATGTGCCAGTGGCGCCTGTCAGTGGCCAGACCCTGTCAGTGCAGAGGAAGGAGGTGTCACAAACAGCCGGTAGGAGAGGTCACCACAGTGTCCACCGCAGGACCTCAGACAGACGGCTGGTCTCCGTCTGACAGGCTGCTTTTAACTTTTAAAACAGCATGAACAGGCCAACCGTGCCGCTGACCTCCTGGTAACATTCATGAAAATGCCATATGCGCGTTGCTCTGTGCTAGAAGATGGCGGAGTCGGATGGTGGGGATTTTGCTTCGAAAGATCCACAGAACAGGTGAGTGGAGCCGGGGTGAGGTGGTGCTGTGTTGCCCCGGTGTTGGGTCTGGTCCCTCGGTAATAACTTGGTAGGCGCCGGGACTGCAGCCCAGTTCGAACCCGCTGGAGCGTCCCCTCGTGTCGGCCTTGACTCCAGGAAACACCGAGGAGTTGTCCGGGGCCTCCAGGCATCCACACTGCCTGTGTTTTATACCGATGCACAGCAAGTGTACAATAAACTAAGGATGTAACAGTTGTCCATTAATAGGAATAAACACTAACAGTCTGCTGTGTTGTAGCAGGTGAGCTGCAGCACGTTTGTTTACAATCTGGTGAAAGATTTCTACAATATGTTAATATTAATAAGATGTAGTCAATACTTTAAATACTTTTTTTTTTGCAATGCAATATTGATGCAGTAATGCTTCCCTAGTTTAAGTCATTGTAAGGATTAACCAGCTTTCCTTAACTGCAACAAATTACATTCAAATTTGGGTGCAGAGAAAACTACACTTTGCTACACAAAGTTTGCACATTGTGAACAGAAAAGTTTGCTTTTATCACTTAACTGATGTCAGTCCTGTCTAAAGCCAGAGCGATACTGGATTTTGGAGGCAGAAAACTGATCTGAGAGTTAAAGTTACTACAAGGAACTTAGATTGTGTGTTGATACTTGTGGCACCTGCTGTTATAAAGATCTTGATCTGGCTGCATTTGTGTTGGAAGTGAGTTGGAGTCAAGAAGAAACAATGTTACAAAATAGATACTTCTATAATGTAGATGGCCACAGTGACACATACAATAGGTCTGGAAGGTTTTCACCTTAAAACGATTGTTAAATTTAACAGAAGAGTTTTAGAAGAGTGTGTCGGATATCGATTGATCAAAGTGCTCACCAAAATGCTTGAATGAGTTTTAGTCCATTATTGGAATAATTTTATATTAAATGACCCAGTTCTGCTCGGTATTAAATTGTGATCTGAATATGAAATTGTTGGATTTGAACAATGGGATCATTCCCTTACACTTAAATGTGATGTGTAGATGCGTTTTCGTCATCTGTAATCTGCCTTCTGTGTGATTGGATGCCATTTTTGGGTGTCATTTAAACAAAGCAGGTTGGTAGACGAAGTGCTAACAAAAACAGGCAGGCAGCTGTCGCACTACAACTGGGACTTCTCAGTCTCTTCCACTTGTCTGGTGTCATTTCTGCTTGTGGTGATTGTGTTCAGTTGTTAAAAGTGATGTCAGGAAGACTGCAACACTGTCTACCTTTTAGTCTTAATGAATGAATGAGATATCTGTCCCTGGTAATGTCAACCTGTGGTAGTGATCATGCGTATTCCTGGCAGATTGATTTCTCTTTTTCTATGTGGAGCAAGAAATAGTCTAAACAGATAAATTTTTCTACTTATAGTAATGTTTTTTTTTTTTCCTGTGTGCAGATACGCTCTCACTAATGCAAAGACACTACAGATTGCATTACCCCCCCCCCTCGACTGTGGTAGATTAGATTAACCTTCCATCGCAGTATTGCTGCATGCATCTACGCCTTGAGTTAACACCAGACAGATCAGATCACATTTTAATATTGTTGAGTTGTACGCCCTGCTTGGCCAGAATATAAGCTTCTAGCAGTATACATTATATTCATTTGAGAATAGAAAGAAGTAAAGTATTTCATTAAAAATAAAGTGTAGAATCCCTTTATTCACTGATTGTGACAGTACCTTTTTTTTCTTTCCAGTATGGCTAATAAGAATAGCACCCTGCGCTGTACATTCTCAGCCCCAAGCCACAGTGCCACCCTCCTCCAGGGTTTGTCGGTCTTGCGAGCTCAGGGTCAACTACTGGATGTCGTGCTGGCCATCAATGAGGAGCGCTTCCAGGTCCACAAAGCTGTGCTGGCCGCCTGTAGTGATTACTTCAGGTTAGTCTGAAATACCAGACTTCTCACTGTCCATTTACATTTTGAATTGGAAGCGCATACCCGATGCTCTTAACTGGAGCAGTTTACACTGAGTGCACCGTTAGAGTAAGCTGCAGTTCACCCATCAACTATATTAAAAGTAATTCATTTGGGAGAGGAAGGTAAAGGATGAACAAATGTGGAACGAAATGCAAAGTGATTCACTCACTTGAACTTTTTCTCTTTCATTTTGCCTTTGATCTAAGTCATTATACTTCAATGAATTTATATTTAGAGCTCCTGCTGATTATAGAAATTATAGGAAAACGAATTCCAGAAAGCGAGGACGTTTTAAAATGATCAATTATTAAACACAAATTATGTAAATGTGCAAATGGAAATGTAGCCAAATATACTTTTCACTTTGTTTTGCACACTCTCTCACTCTTTAGACAGTAGTTTTCATTGCCATGGACACCAAGAAAAAAGCTTTTTCACATCATACAACTGCTCTTAACTCTGTGCCTATTAAAGTCATACACAATTCATGCAATCTAAATCTGTGCCTTGCACATAGAAGATAGCAAATTTAAAAAATGTCATGTAGTGACTGATATTTTCTTGTGTTACAGAGCAATGTTTACTGGAGGCATGAGGGAGTCAAATCAAGATACCATTGAGATGAAGGGTCTGTCAGCCCGTGGGCTGAAACATATTATTGACTTTGCCTACAGTGCAGAAGTCACTTTAGACCTGGACTGTATTCAGGATGTCCTCGGGGCGGCTGTGTTTCTCCAGATGGTGCCAGTCGTAGAGCTCTGTGAGGAGTTTCTCAAGTCAGCGATGAGCGTAGAGACCTGCCTGCACATCGGCCAGATGGCCACCACCTTCAGCCTGTCTTCCCTCAAAGAGTCGGTGGATGCCTTCACCTTCCGTCACTTCCTCCAAATTGCTGAGGAGGAGGATTTTCTGCACATTCCCATGGAACGCCTCGTCTTCTTCCTGCAGAGCAACAAACTGAAGAACTGTAGCGAGATCGACCTCTTCCACGCCGCCATCAGGTGGCTCCAGTATGACGAGTCCCGCCGGGCTCAAGCCAGCAGTGTCCTCTGCCATGTACGTTTCCCGCTCATGCGCTCCTCTGAGCTGGTGGACAGTGTTCAGACGGTGGACATAATGGTGGAGGACGTGCTGTGCCGCCAGTATCTCCTCGAGGCCTTCAATTACCAGATTCTTCCCTTCCGACAGCATGAGATGCAGTCTTCGCGGACGCTCATACGTTCTGACGTCATGTCACTCATTACCTTTGGTGGGACGCCGTACACTGACAACGACCGCACAGTGAGCACCAAGGTGTACCACCTCCCTGACATCTCATCCCGTCAGTTCAAAGAGCTGACAGAGATGGAGGCGGGATGCAGTCACGCTTGTGTAGCCGTACTTGATAATTTTGTGTACGTCGTTGGTGGACAGCACTTACAGTACCGCAGCGGCGAGGGGGCAGTTGACAGCTGTTACCGCTACGACCCGCATCTAAACCAGTGGCTGCGCATCCAACCCCTGCAAGAGGCTCGTATCCAGTTTCAGCTCAACGTGCTGCATGGACAGCTGTACGCCACCGGAGGGCGCAATCGATCTGGCAGTCTGTCATCTGTAGAGTGTTACTGCCCAAAGAAAAACCAGTGGACTTACGTGGAACCATTAAAACGCCGGATTTGGGGTCATGCGGGCACTCCCTGCGGAGAGAAGCTGTATATCTCAGGGGGTTATGGCGTCTCGTTGGACGACAAGAAAACTCTTCACTGCTACGACCCGGTTTCAGACCAGTGGGACTTCAAAGCTCCCATGAATGAACCCAGAGTGTTGCACGCCATGATCAGCACCAGGGATCGGGTTTATGCTCTGGGCGGTCGCATGGACCACGTGGACCGATGCTTTGATGTCCTCGCGGTTGAGTATTACATTCCAGAGAACGACCAGTGGACCACCGTCAGTCCCATGAGGGCAGGTCAGTCTGAGGCAGGCTGCTGTTTACTGGACAGGAAGATCTACATCATCGGGGGCTATAACTGGCACCTGAACAATGTCACAAGCATCGTGCAGGTGTACAACACAGACACAGATGAGTGGGAGAGGGATTTGCACTTCCCAGAATCCTTTGCTGGCATCGCTTGCACACCAATTATAATTCCACAAAACACCACACAATGCTAACCATCCGACCTGTGACTGTGAAGATTTTATTCCATGTGCTCTTTCTGACGACCACAGAGTCGACACAAGGTGTGAACGTTATGTAAGCTACTGTGTGTGTGTGTGTTCATTGAGGAGATGCCCTGAAAAGCTATTAAGACGTATTATTTTTTATCTTTGTTTTGTTTAATTAAAGCAAATTTTGATTTGAAATTTATTTTATGTGAAAACTTATCATCTTGATCTTAATGTTGATGTTGACTTTTATGATACTGATACAAGTTTTTGAATGGCAGTTGGTCAGTATTTGACCACATTTTGATGATTGGAGTTTGAGTAATTCCTGAATTCTATAATTAATTGATTGATATATTATCTTGATTTTTTGTTCTCTTCCTGAATAGAATTACCTAAATTAGTAACTTCTCATTTAAAAAATAATCATAAATCAGTTAACAGTGTTTTACCAATCAAGGGCTTAAGTTACAGACAGCACAAATTGTCTCTGGAAATCTCATATTTGAAGTTTAAATTGTGTGTTTGCAAAGGTATTAACAGACTCAAGTGTTAGACATTATGATTGTACAGTTGGGAATGTTGTATTATTATTATTTTGCTTACTTTTTATCTTGTTATAATTTTACCATTCAAGCGACCAAGATAACTGAAAGTCTTACTGTTGTATGTCTCCTCAATCTAGTAATCAACAAACCACATATCAATGCACAGTAATGATTGCACAAAGAACGCAAGTAGTGGTTGTTGTTGTGGAATCAGCTATTCCATGTGGGTGTTAATGGCTTTGTTTTGTTTTTTTACCCTTCTTGTGTTTCCTGAGCTGAAACTCCCACTGACAAACTAATTGTTGTCTCAGTCAACTTAACAAACCAGTGTGGATCTCTTATGGCAGCTACATAAATCATTTATGTGTGCGTGTCCATTTTGAATGTCGATGTGTGCTGTTCTTTATGTCAAACAAGTGCTTACCTTGCTATTTTGTGTACCACACATGCTTTTGTCCCTTGGCCTACACAAAAAGGGGATACAGGTGATATTTATTAATATCTAAGCTATTGCGCCAATCCTCAAAAAAATCAAATTTCCCCAGAAAAAGCACTTAAACTGTCCATTTACCATGATATTGATTGATACCGGCTCATGTTTTTACTTTGACTGCATTGCTGCACTTTTCAAAGCAGTATTTATCAGACATCTGATTCTGCTGCTGACGTTATTGATGTATTTAATGTGTGTATAAGGAAGAAACAAGCTCAAAGTTCTTGTTTTTCCTTTTTAAATGTGACATCTACGTGATGGTGTCCATTTTAAAACTGTCTCCTGTTTGCCTTAGTGTATTTGTAATGATTTACCTGTACCAGTCAAAGCACATGATATCTCATTAAAGTGCAATATAAAGTAGTCAAAGGGGAATGTAGACATTTATGTAGCTCTATGTGCATCCTTTTATTAAAGGTGTATCATGTTTTAAAAAATACCCTTCATGTGCTTGTTATGTTTTTGATTTGGTTGGATGATGTATTTCCACAACAAGCCTACTGAAGCACTGCCTTCACTGCCACTGCCTGCCACTTACCCTATAAAAGGTTTAAACTGTTTGTATGCACACACTCCCACAGACACTCAGTGTGTCACGTTTAGGAGGATAAATATCGCAGAAATTGAATATAATATTCATAGGTATGTTTCTATTAGTGTATAACCACCTGAATATAGAAATCATGTACATTACATTAAAATTATTCTATAGATGCTGCACGGTCGCATTCCATGGAGGCGCTTTTGGTGAGTTGCTGGTGGACACCATCATTTCTCTTACACACATTCTCATTACAGATGTGAGTGGTGTTCAGTTTAGTTGCAATCTGCAGCTTCACCACTAGATGCCACTAAATCCTGCACACTGGTCATTTAAGAGGAAAATTACTGAAGATATCTCTTTTAATTAGAGCTGCAACTAAAAGCTATTACTATATAATGCCTGAAAGTAATAAAGAAATATAGTATATTAATATTAATGTTCCCAAAAATCAAGTTGACGCCTTAAAAATGTCTTGTTTTCTCCAACCAACAGTCCAAAACCAAAAAGTATTCAGTCTACAGTGATTATACAGCAGAGAAAATCAATGTTTGTTATTTTGACCAGAAATATTACTTAGATATACTATACTATTTAAAAAAAATTATAATTATCAACTGACTGGTAGAATAATGTGTCAGCTCTACTTTTCATTACAGTTGTGTTGCAAACCCAAGCAACTTCTGTGCGCTGGTAATGTCATCAAGGTTTCAGTTTTCAAATATTAAACCAAGTTGATACAATAATTGTTTTTAATTAATAAACAGTTTGAATAATTTAATGTAACATAATACTGTAGCTTACATTCTTCCACTTTTAATTACTGCAGTGGTTTTGTTTAGAACTTGACTCTGTAACTTCCCTCATGTTCAAACTAAAGAGAAAATGTAATTATGAAGATGATTATTCAAACCTGTATCTTTTGTTGTCCTTAAAATAAAATAAAGTTTTATTACAGCAGTTTTGTTAATTGCTTTATTTATTATCCTTTTAGAAGTGCAGTTCATTGATTTTGTGCATTCAACATTCCCCTATAAGATAGATATCAGTGATTTGATCAATGCATCCAGTTCTAATATGCTGTTTATCGAAAGGCAATATTTAATATTAAATATTAAGTATTTATGGGTGTGTGACAATTTTTTACATACATTTTTCAGCAGCTAGATTATCTACTGTAGCTGTTTCAGACTGTTTACAATAATTCACTTATTATCCTACAACCTAGATGTCATAAAATTACATTATAGGTGGTTTTGCTTAAATATGGAGTTAAATATAGATCAAGCTACTGAGCATCATAGATAATAGACAACATCTCACCCCTTTCATGCCTTTCTGAATGAACAGACGCACCCACTGCAACAGACTAATGCCACCAAATTGCACCACTGAAGATTATTACAATGCAAATTACCTTGAATTCAATCCACTGTTCCTATTCCTACTCCCCCTTTGTTTTGTTTTCAAAATATGAAACATAGCAACACAGATACACCTTTGCAGTTTATACATTGCTTGTAATTTGGAACATTGTAACCAGTATCCTTCGTTTTCATTACTCAATGCACCCTTTTCTTTGTACATTTGCACTTTTATTTTTCCTCTATTTCATGCATGTACGCTTGAATTATTCAGCTGAATAGGCCTATGCACAATATATGGACTACATTTACACTACGTACAGTCCCTGGCAGAAATGAGAAAAAAAAAACACATTTCTTATTTTTTTTATTGTTGTTACACTTAATTGACACCAAGAGAAACATACAAAAATGTAATGATAAATTTGTCATTATTTTTATTATATAAAAATGTGTCTTTTATGCTTTTTTTGTGATTTTGGACATTCAACCTTGTTTAATTTTAAATTTAATATTGATATAATATGAATTTAATAGAATTGACATAAATATCAATTTTGAATTGTAAACATCATGTGTGGTAAGATATATTATTATTTTATGTCTTTATTTTATGTCACCACACCATTCAAAATCTTTTTTTTTTTAGGGTTTGTATGGCTTGAGGGCAGAGTTAACTTAATGGAGGGAACTAAAAAAGAATAAATTAACAGATCATATTTCCACTAGAATGGCCACAAATAATCCGAAAAAATAACATACTGTGTGCATAAGTGTCTACTATATCCACTGACATACTGGTTTAGAATAGAATAGGAATAGAATGCCTTTATTGTCACTATACCACATGTCAAATGAGATTAAAAGCCAAAACGCCAATAGCAGTGCAAAAAACAGTAAGAAAATATAAAAAAATTACAGTATAAACGATAGGACATAAAAGTGTAATAGTTGCAAAAAAGGGAGGTAAGGTTTTTACCAGTGTTTATAAAGTATAAAATTTAAATAAAGTATTCAGATCAGGTTCCTAGTTTATTATTACATATTATTGTTACACAAAGTTATTTGCCCCGCCGCCCGCGCGCGCCAGTGATTGTTGGTGCACACGCGCAAAAAAAAAAAACCCACTCATCCCACTTCTCAAACATCACAACCAGAGAGATGGACACACACACACACACAGCTTTCGTGCTTCGTGCCGTACCATGGGTGATACACCGAACCCCCTGGATGCGTAGACTGCATTATCTGAGAAGAGAGGAGAAAGATGGTCCTCTAACAATCCTCGCAATTTTAAGCGAAAAATCGCTTTGCATAATCAGAAACAGGCGGGAAGAGACGCCGGTTTGAAGAAGTGATAACAGACCTGAACAACCAGAGCCGCTCGGGTGTGAAAGACCTGCTGCACAACCGCTGGCTGTTTTGTACTTTTTGTTTGCATCGCTGTTTTTTTTTTTTTTTTTTTTTTTTGGCAGCTATCGAACGCTGGCGGTGATTAAATCTGATCCGTTGTGCTAAAAAAAAAAAAAAAAAAATAGCTAATAGTTATACACACTAACGGGCTGTAACTGCACGTCAGTTCAACACCGCCAAATTGCTGTTTCCACCCCTCCTCCCCGCAACTCCTGGCCTGTTTAAAGTCACGCTTGCGTTATTCAGACAAACAAACACACTTAAACTCGTGTGTGTGTGTGCTGCGTTAACTAGCCTGAGCTGGTGGTTTTTTTTTTTTTTTTTTGTTGGTTGTGTGGTGGGGGGATGCTGTGAATTAATGTGCTACCTGTTCTCCGACTGGAGCTCCGGTTTGAGCTTGTCAACCGTGCTCATCTCACTTGGTAACGTTCGGCAACAGACAACAACAAAAAAAAAAAAAACCCCAACCCAATCACTGTGTAACAACATGTCAGGGTCAGCTGGAAGGAGCTGGACATGGGAGGCTTTTACAGGAGAGAGGGTTTAAGTTAGCCAATCAGATGTTAACCAGCCTTCCCAGCTGTGATCTCCTCTTCCTCCCTCTTCCTCCTCTTCCTCCATCACCATCCACTATTATCTCAACGTTACTCGTTACATCAGCCAGCTGTAGTTTGGTTGAACAATAAGCAACATCTGGATTACATGTAACTGAGATGCGAAGTAATCCCGTAAAACAGTTACAGAATAAAAACGTTAAATCGGGTTACAAATGGGGATTATTTAGCAGGATTACAGTTACAATTTATCTCTAAAAATACAGTGAACAAGAAATATTTTGCATTTTCTTTTCTAAGGTTAAATTATTCTGTTTTATGGAATAAACTGTGTTTTTATTTACATATTTAGTGTTGAGGTAATCCAAAATAATCGAGTTACTTTACTTCTGTAGTCTAGAGCTGAAATGATTAGTCGATTAGTTCGTTGATAGAAAGTAATGGATGGTTTTGATAAATTAATTACTCATTGAAGTCATGTATTATGTAAACAACGCTTCCAGCTTCTCAGATTTGCCTTTTCTGTTTTATGTGATTGTAAAATGAAGACTGTCTGTATTTGGGCTCTGAGACGTTATATTTTACACTATTTACATATTATAGAAGATTAATCCAACAAATAATCAAAAAAGAGTTCATATTCAGATATAATTTATATATAAAGTATTTGAATATCTTCTAAACATTCATATAAAACAAGTAAAGCAGCAAATCCTAATATTTATAGACGCTGGAACAACAGAATATTTCAGATTTACTTGGAAAAATCACTGAATCACTTCAATCAGTTATTGAAATTGTTCCATTGCAGTTTCTTGTGATCAACTAATCAATTAATCAGCATATTCAGCTCTATTAACCACAAAAGAGGGAAACATTTTGTTGCCGGGAAGCATTTGGACTAATTATTGGCCCAGTTGCTGGAAATGATTCCCACTTACCACATGCTGTAAAACTGAGCTGTCGTTTACTGCAGGGGGAAAAAATCAGTCAGTTTTATGGTCTCTGCCAGATTTCTGTGTGTTGCCATCCAAACATCAATCCATCGCATTTGTTCGTATCATTTTCAGTCTCACTTCCGTTCCTTTACTTGTAAAAGACGACTTCCATCACTGTTTTTTTTTGTAAAAACGTTTCTTTTGTGACTGGTTTTTAATATTACGGCTAATGTAATCACCAGGTGTGTTACGTGGAAACGCTGTAATTGCACCAGCTGTCAGTCAGGTGTCACTCACATCAGCTGATTTTCTTTTTCTCTGTTATAAAAAGATGTTGTGCCAATCTGCTCGTCCCGTCGTGTTTCATCCGTCAAGTTAATGGATCCATTCGTCTTTTCACTTCACCACTGTGGACTGGCAGCCATCGTTCACTTTTGAGGATCACTTTTTTTGTGAATCAGATCAATCATTCACTCATGCTTTCATGCAATTTTACTTTGCACAGTTGCAGTTACAGAAGACCCAGTATTTGCAACTAGGGCAGAATCGTGGACAGTACTATGGAGGCTCACTGCCCAATGTCAATCAGATTGGAAATGGCAACATTGACCTGCCTTTTCAGGTGAGCCCTCAGCCTCTCTCGGCTGGTAAATGAATGGTTTGTTCTCGACCAGTGTACCCTTTCTCAGCTGTTGGTGACAATATTGGACATGCAAAGGTCGCAGTTATCTGTTGTATTGGTGAAAAGATTGGCTCCAAACAGAGATTTCCACTCTTAGGATGTATTAATTTGAAGAAAGTCTGCAGGTTTAGTTTAGTTTATCAGAAATGACCTGCTGGTCAGAGCTGCTTTGTATCATGGTTCAGGAGCGAAAGGAAGTGTGTAATACAAGGTGTACCAGTTCTACCCTGCAGTGTAATTTGGTTCCTAAATTTTAAAGTATATCATTGCTTGTCATGGCTTTTCATCTTAAAATACATTTGCCAACTCAAGCATCAGTATGGGGGGCCCATGGCTTGACTCATTTTGAATTGAACACATTTGCACCATTAATCCTAAAACACTATCCTAAGGTAGTTTTTGTTGTGTCTGTGAGCTGTGTCGCTGGCCTCATTCACCTGCTGTGTTCACTCTAGAACTCGGTGCTGGATACCAGTCGGACAACCAGGCACCACGGGCTGGTGGAGCGGGTTTACCGCGACCGGAACCGCATCACGTCTCCTCACCGCCGGCCGCTGTCAGTCGACAAACACGGACGCCAGATATCCTTTTGTTTTTTTTTGGAAGCGTGTGGTGTTGAGGATGTTTGGACTGTGGTGTGAACATCGCTCTGAAGACTTTTTCATCTGTTGTTGTGATTAAGTTTCTAGTTTAGAGACAGTCTGAGTAGGTTTAAACAGCGGCAGCACAGTTTTCATCTGATTTACCGGCTCCTCTAGGGTTGCTATAATAAGCGCTCACAGACAGAAATACTATGAACTTCGCACTTGGAGATCTAAATTATGTGGTTAGCCGTACGATGATACTAGATGTTCAGGCTGGGCAAAGATGTGATAGAAAGAGGAGGAAACTCTGCATCGTTCAACAGATTTTGACAGTGAGGTGAATTGTTTATCTTCACTACATTATATTGAACCATACAGTGTGATATTACACTCCTGTTGAGGTTATATTGACACATATTTGACCATAAGTTTACAAGACACTGACTGAAACCTTTTTTTTTAAAGTAACTGGATCCCAAAAACACTCGTGTGTGTGTGTGTGTGTGTGTGTGTGTGTGTGTGGTGTCACTTATTACGTATCAAATGTATTAGGTTGAATCAGCCAACAGGCATGCAGCTATGGATTAGCTTAGATCCATTTTTCATCCCCTCTGCTTTATTAGCCTTAACTGAATTCACATTGACAGCTGTCCTTACAGCTCAGTTTACCTCTCCCCACCACCAGACACTAGCTGGAGAAGGTAAGCCACCTCCCCTTGTCCATTGGCCAAAACGATTACTAGGAAACACAACAGCTCAACTGCAAAAAATAAAACTGCATGACTCCGTGTCGGTATAACATTCACAAACTCAACCAACACAAAAGAAGCCCACATAATGGGCCGTGTGATACCACATAAAGGTCTGTAACATAATCTGATTCTTGATGGATGTGATGCCGTAGAATTGGACCTCTGCCAGTATTCAGGATTTGGCAGTGATTTTGCTGACATCTCATCTTTCTGACACTTACAGGACAAACTCGGACTCTGCTTTACACCAGAGCGCCATGAATCCGAAGCCCCAGGAGGTGTTTGCAGGGGGATCACAGGAGCTGCAGCCTAAACGAGGTAATGGAAGATCATTTTACGAAGACACAGAGCCGCTTTTATTTATTAATGTGCAATGTACTAATGTAGGCGGCAAACCTTAAATGACATAAAAGGGTTGATGTCACAAAGAAGCAGATCTGGACTCTTAATGAAATATTTATGGAGTAAATGGATACTGATCTCTGGCAAAGACCTGCTTCAGCATGCTGGTACAGTACTCAGCCGGCTGTAGAGAAGTAACATCTGTGAATGGAGCTGACTCAGGGGGATCAATAACTCACTGATTATCCATGGATTATGTCTTTTTATGTGTGAGGCTCTGATATAATGAAGCCCAGATTGGCTGGCATCCACTCCGTCTGTCTGTCTGCTGGTCACCTTGCTATTTTTAGACTCTCAGGAATCTAGTGCACAGCACTATATCCTGCTTGACTGGCTTGGATATTGATGACTCATTTCTTGCACTGATTTGAATTGTTGTGTATTTTGTCATAGCAAGCAACTGTGTCTTGCTGTTTCACTAATTAGTACTGCTGCTAACAGTGCCTGGGACGGAGAATTCAGAGTCCAGTGCAGACAAGGATGCGCAGGAACAGTTGTGGGATGACAAGAAGGTAGTGATGGGAAAAGGGAAGGGCTTTAATTGTACACTTGTTATGATCCAGTGCACCACTTCACATTTGAGGCTCATAATTATGTTTTCTCATTAGGATGATTCATCAAAGTCCAACGCGTGTGATGTCCCAGGAATCAAGTGAGTGGTTGGAGTACTTTGTTTAAAAATTATTTCCAGTGAGGCGCCCGGGAAGCTTACCTGGTAGAGCTCGCACCCCGTTTACCAAAGCTGAGTCCTTGCTGCAGCCGCCGTGGAGTCAACTCTGACCTGTGGCCCTTTGCTGCGTGTCATCTCTGCTCTCTCTCTCTCTCTCTCTCTTCTCTCTCTCTTCTCTTCTCTCTCTCTCTCTCTCTCTCCCTTTCCTGTCACTCTTCAGCTGTCACTATTTAATAAAAGTGTCACATCAAGTTGTTGACAACTTCTAGTTCACCTGTAATTGAAAGGAGAACCTTTCTACAACAAAAACAGAAAAACAGACAGGAACTGTGTGTTCAGGGGTCCAAAATGGTACTTTTGGCTCTTCTGCCAATGGCAGGTTGACTGAGAAAATTTACCGGCCAAAAAATAGATTTTACCAATCCATAGCACTGTACTACTTTTGACTAAAACAAATTACCTCACGTTTTAGCCATTCTGGAACCTTTTGAGCTTCATACTTTACCCAGGATCTCGGGGCTCTTGCACGCCACATAAACACTGACGTTTCTCTTTGTCTTCATGTTTTCTTTTAGGAATGTATTGCCTCATCTCTAATACCATGTAACACAGATGTTTCTTACAGTACAAACAGACATTGTTTTGACAACACAAACATTATGTAGAGAGCACCAAATAGAAGTAAATATTATAGATAATAGAATAAAATAATGCCACAAAGCATCAGTGTCTTTACTTGGAAAATATTGGTATGTGTTTTGATCTGTTGAAACCTAGTGCTCGTACTTCCTCACAGAAAAACTCTAAACTAAAACAACTACTGAAAAAGTAATACGTTGGCAAGAATATTGTAAGCAAAACCCCGTGGTGGAAGCATGAATTTAAATAAAGATAATTATACAAAAAGAAAAGAAAAACTCGGCCGATATGAGATCTCATTTCTGATTTCTTTTTAGTATATTCCCATCACCGGACCAAGAGTTGAACCCATCCGTGCTCCCAGCTGCACACAACACCGGCGGTTCGCTTCCTGATCTGACCAACATCCAGTTCCCTCCTCCGCTGTCCACCCCGCTGGACCCCGAGGACACCGTGGCCTTCCCCTCCCTCAGCGCGTCCAACAGCACCGGCAGCCTGACCACCAACCTCACCCACCTGGGCATCAGCGCTGCCAGCCATGGTAATAAGCACTATTCGAAAACGGTAAAACTTTTAGCACACCAAAATGTGTTGAAGACCTTTCACGTGTATTTGTTTCCTTGCCAGGGATCCCCACCTCCTCTCAGCCCACCATGACTGTAACGGCACAGCGCCGGCAACCGCCCGTGGTGCCGCTCACCCTCACCTCTGACCTCCATCTCCAACAGTCCCCGCAGCAGCTTTCACCCACCCTCACCTCACCTGTTAACATCACACAGGTAAGGTCTAGGTGGCCATCCACAATACTCTAACTGTTTGACTTGAACGCAGCTGACTTGAGAAAGTTGCAACCTCCATCTATCCTCTATGGTCCGTGAAATGTGGAAAGCCTGTCACTAGGAGGGTGAAGAGTTGAAATCTCTCCAGTAAATTCAGCATATTGCATTTTATGGGACTAGCCTGAACAGAGTCCATGTGCGTTTTTCCTCAGGCCGTGTCAACAGAGTCACTGACCCTGGAGCAGCAGCTCTCCCAGTACCCCCTGTTCAACCAGCTGACGCCTCAGGCCCAGGCTCAGTTGCTCAGTGACCTCCAGAAGCAGCAGCAGGCTCTGTCGCAGGGCATCCAGCTCATCACCCTGCCGACCCTGGCTTCCCCTGGTGCAGCCACTGCCAGCAGCCCCTCCCCAGACAGCCAGAGCCAGACCACGGCCAGCATCAGTATCAGCTCGGTAAGAAACCAGTCGGAAAGTGGCAGAGAGAACCGTTAATGTGATGAAATGACTGTTCTGTTAGTTCTTCAGCTACCCAGAATGCATCCCTGTAGATATCTGCATATCCTTGTTCTGCTACCTGGACTTTACTACCAGATAATTATGCCTATTTACACCAAAACAGGAGCATTTGGAGGATTTTATTGCTTGTTTTTTCTAAGGAAGATGCTTGCAGGTCCTTTTTAAAGCTGACAAATTCTTCTAACCATTTGGCACTCAGCATTTTGTGTGTGCCTCGTGTGGGTTAAGGCAATTTTGGATGTAGCTGGCTGAATTTGTGTGTACTGTTAAAGCCAGAAATTGGCTGATTTAAGCTTGTAAGATACAGAAATACACCTCTGAATATTCTCTATAATGCAACAACCACTTTAACCAGAATAGTAACATCGGGTACTACAGATGTTACTATTCCATAATCATATTGAAGTGTAAACAAACTGACCTGCCACAGAAAACGCACTATACATACCGAGCAGATCTAAGGCTGACGCCCTCTCACATCGCGTCCTTTGAGATTTGTGTGTGACAGGCATGAAGCCCAGTGCTAGCTAACCCTCTTCCCTCCAACAGTACCGCAATCAGACTGGCTCACCAGCCACTCAGTCTCCAACCTCCCCAGTCTCCAATCAAGGCTTCTCCCCCGGCGGCTCGCCTCAAGTAAGGGCCCACCCACCAAGCTAGCTGCTGTTTGGGGAAGGGCTTTGCGCCTGGGGGAAAGCTAATTGTAGATGAGTTAGGCTGCTTTTCATTCTCTTTAATCAGCAGTTAATCACTCATGGTGTCAACAGCTGCATAACTCATTTCTCCATCACCACTGTCGCTCTTCACTGTGTGCATGACAACATGGCAGTAGTTTGTTGATGGAGGCCCTGACCAGATGGTAGTCTTGAAATTACTCTAATCTTTCAGCGAGCAGAAATTCAGGTATTTTTAGGATGCAGCACACATTACTGAGATACTTATCTCATACGGATGAGCTGCAGTTTTACGATAAGAGGTCTGAGATTGTTTGTTGGAGGAAATAATCTTTCTAAAAGCCGCTCCGCAGGCACTGTACGTTATGACGCTTACGCTGTACGAGCTGTTTGTTGTTTTACTATTTCAACTTTGCTGCAACACATTTTTTGACAAATTGGTAATTTTCTCTTGCCCATAAACTGTCACACCGCAGAATAACTCTCCGGTGTGTTTTGGGTTATGTAAGACTTCATTATGATCAGTCAGACTTTATGGTGAAGTCTTCAGCTAGTTGGGGCATAGAGTTTACATCTGCTATTCATATACACTCAAACAAAACATATCGCTCTCTCCGCTGGGTAAAAGTCATCAGGGCTTTATCCCGTCTTCAATAAAACATTTGGCAGAAACACAAAGTCAGCTGCATGTGTTTTAATAATACACTTTATGTGTTTTTCAAGGTGCAACGCCACATCTAGAGAAGCAATTACCTTCTCAAAAACTGAAAAACAAAAAGTTATTGTTAATGTTGAAACAAAATAAAGGAAAAATATATTTTAAGTTATTTAATGTATTTAAACATATAATTTAGTTTAAGCTACCCTGTTTAGTTTTCTTCTAAACAAACAGAAGTTATGTTTACATTCGGTGTTACTCCCCAAAATGCATTGTTTGTATCCTTGAAGTCCCTTGAAGTTCCCTCCTCATATACAATTTTCAAAGCCGATTTAGGGTTTTTTAAATCCAGCATTAATTACATCCATGCTTACTAGCTTGCGGTCTCCTTTTTCTCCTTAGTTGGTGCTTTGCTGTATTTGTTGGCCAACCTTTAAGTGAGAACTAGCTAGTGCCAAGTATATGAGAGGGAAATCTAAAGGGGAGAAAGTAGATAAATATCTAAATTCATAAATTAAATAAGTCACCTCTGGTCCATCAGTGACTAAAAGGTTAGTTAGAAATGTTTCCACTGGGACTCCACCACTAAAAAAATGCCAGTCACACAGTGTTGGTGCTTTTCTCATCGCAAGAAAAATTTCAAAAGAAATTCCAATATTTGTCAACCTCAGAAGTGTTCTCATACCTCCGCTCAGTTGTCACTGCCTATAAAATGACACTGACTCAGGTTTGAGTTTCTACAAGATTCCAAAAAAGCTTCATTACAAGAGAAATAATCTCAAACACTTTGTCTTTGATTCTGACTGAAAGTAAACACACAAAGTGTTGCTGTTGCAGCGAACTGCATAGCAGAGTAGATCCAAGTAGAGAGGTCGGCTGGCAGGTTGACCGAACTACTCAGGGCTTCGGTTTTTCCACTAATGGTAGCACAACGCTTAGTAGCACCACTTTAATCGACATTAGCACACATTACTGATAAATGCCT